TTGCTTGTTTTAAATGCCCTAACATCAATCTACAGTTTTACACAGGTTGGACCATTTGCATTGTTGAATTATATACTTATGGGTATGAAAACACCAAGGCAGGTGGAGGCCTCTGTAAAGTGTTGGCTAAACGTTTAAATGGTTGGGAAAATTTTTATAAACAAACAACGAAGCCGATTTACGATATAGTATCAAGCACATCAGTAGTCTGAGTATGATACCTACCGTCGGCTTTATTTTTGGTAAATGATACTTAAGAAACACTTTGATTTTTGTGGACACCGTGTTTGTTGATATGGAATACCCACTATACGTCACGTGACTTAGCGGGCGCAATCAGTCTAGAGTGACATTGCAGTTGTCTTTTATTGCTGACGCAAGAGCAGCCTGGTCGAAGTCACAAACTTGCAACATGAAACCAAGTCATGTTAAATTGAACTCCATAATTTGCCATACATTTTAAGAAGTACCTGTGCATTTTGGGTATGTTTGTTGAATCCTGCTTGAAGAAATGCAGGATAAAATTACACAGTTTTTCAGAGTTGAGAAATGAGTGCACACAAATTCCGTACATGTACAGAAAACCAAGGACTGAAATTCACATGGAAGCATTTTTGGGGAAATTATACCTATGTATTAGTCATAGTAATAAATTCCAACTGTGGCTAAATACAGGTACACATGTATAACATAGGCCTAGGATTAATAAAAATGGACTGCTGTAATAAGTTTCCAGTTCAAAGAATGTGAATCCTGTGCATAACATATGTATCTGTGGTAAAAACAGAAAAATAAATGTATTTAACTAGAAAACAATTCAGACCCATTTCCAGTGTGTGCCTCAATATTCAGATAAGTTCCTCTACAGTTTCTTGCCCATTCAGTTGAAAATCAGTCGCATTTGCATAGCATTGATCCATGTCATGTCTGAGGATTCAGACCTCGTGGTTATCTTTTATAAGAGGCATCTGATGCTGACTCGGTATGACTACACATCTTTGACTACTTTGGCAACAAAGTCAAAGTTAGGCCTACGTGAACATGCATCAATCAAATGACAAGACAGTCTACTGATGAAATTGAAAACTTGTTCTCTTTTATCATTACTCGTTCATAACTGAAACATAGGTTTTCCCGGCCAATTTTAGCAAAAGTTGTTCAATTTAACACAGGGCCCATTTAATTTCATTTCGAAAAGAATGATCCTTCACACAAGCATTCAATAATCAAAAGCAGGCAAACGATTTCATTATCGTTCTTCAAAACATACATTCTTTCAAATTCCAAAGGTTGTTTCATTCATTCACATTTGTCAAAGGGCTTAGAAAGAGGTTGATAAGGCATTTGATTTACTCAATGAGCAATCTTGTTTCCCTTGTGATAATTCAACTTCGTTCCAGTGATAAGGCTTTCGGGATCCTATATAAAATATCTCATTTCCCAGGAAAAAAGGGTTATCGTGATCGTAAAGGTGGATCGCAAGACAGCTTTTTGTCAAAATGAGTTTGTACAAAAATTGTGTCAGCTAGGGTCTTACAGAAAAGTTAGGTTCGTAGAAAGGGAAAGCAGATTAACGCTTTTAAGGGCAATAATGCAAAGAAAGAGCTGCAAACAATTTTTTTTCTTCCTTTTGTTTTCCTTTTTGTGTTTTGAGGTTTCTCCTGAAGGTTTCCCCTGAGCTTTTGTTAACTTTATATGTACTGGTGCATTTTGAAAAGATCCCAATAATCGGATAGGAATCATAAAAAGAACCGCATTAGTTCAAATGAAAAAGAGCAAAACAAAACCTGTCTGATTTGACTCAAGAAAATAGGCTTAGATACAAACACAAAATGAAGGATACAAAAGAGTCATTCACAATCATCGAAAAATTATTATGGAACAAGAGTATCATACACGACAACTTGCAATAGAAGACCAACCGCACTAACTTCTCTCAATACTTCTAAACACTCAGAATGTGAAATAGATTTACTATAAATAAAACAGAAAATCAAGCAAAGGTAAAAGATCTTACATGTGTCAATAAGTTTTAATTAGACTGCACCTATTGGAAAAAGGCAGCAAGAGATTAAAATGAGGAATGGTGAATTGGTGATAGTATAGTTTTGAATGCCCCTAAACAAAGTGGGATGATGGAAACAAACTGAACAGCAAAGCAAACAAATTGCACGAAAACAAACTTGAATGTCAGAAAAAGGAAAAAGAAACCACAACACAAACGAAACCCCAGCATCTGTGTGAAAATGAATATGTCTTGACGAAAATGAGTGAATTTTTGCTGAAATCGGCCGGGAAAACCTAAAATATATGGTACAACAAAAACAGCCCTAAACATACATTGTACAAGCAGTAACAATCCAGTAACAACTTGGAATCCCTGCCTGTTGTTCTTAATGATGAAATGCAACACAATAGTGGATGTACATGTAGATATACATGTTGATGTACTTATTCTCAGACTGAAATAAATCACCGTGCACACACGCTTAAGTTTGTATTCTGGCCACAGCTTTGTTTTTTTCCAAGAACTCTTCGAATATTGCCAGATACCAGAAGTTTTGGGCAAACTGGCAACAAAATTGCATTTTTATCAGGCACACCAGACCCAGCCATGAAAAAGGGCACACCAGGCCCACTCAAAACACAGCCCCTTTGACCGTGTTAATATTCAGGGAACATCAAACCCTGCTACAAGTATGGCTCACCAGACCATCATACGTGTAATTAGGGTGCACCAGGCCCATCGTAAATATGGCACACCAGGCTATCACAGTTAGGCCACACCTGGCCCACCATTATAAAACTCAAAACATGGCACAGTAGCCCATGATAATGTAACACTTATAACACACCTGGCTCACCCATAAATGCTGAATAACAATCGGGCACACCAGACCATGAAATCAGTAATAGCCAAGAGTCATGTTAACACCAATTAATTAATAACTCTGTAGTGAAAACATTAAACCTGAATTATTAAATATGCAGGCACCCAATGTTCCCCCATTGGAGACTTACAGGAGGAATGGCCCATGGTGAACATCCATGGAGCCATTTGAGTGCCTGTCACTAAACATTGAGATTACAGCCATAGTGCCTCCATTGTATACTCTAGCATCTGTAACTGGTAAAATAACTTTATTGGCCATTATAATAGATCATTTCTTGACCGTGTCTGTCAAAATTCCCGTCAAAAACTGCTTCAAAGTGCCAAGCTGAGTCAAATCTCTATGTAGGATACGATTCCACCATTTGAACCGCTGAGGAGAGAAATGGTTCTTGATGAACATCCAAGAAACACAAAACCAAATATATGAGATAATGCAAAGCACAATGCCAACATTTTGTTCACACAATAACATGTTACTTAACACAAGGTGGAGATGGGGCGGAGGCAGGTAAACAAAAGTTTGGAAGTTGCACTGTCTATTAAATCTTTACCCTATAAAGGCTGTGACAAAACTGACCTTAAATTACATTCCCTAAATCCATCAAGCCATGCGTCCCATTAAGAAGATGTCCCATTGGTCAAAAGTTTTGTCACAGAAGTTCCCTTATTGGTCTAAATTCTCGTATGTAATTGGCTGACACATTATGCTAATCATTCAGTGGATCCTTTAATAGAATTCTGTGTTTTCTACAAATTTTCTAGAGACATTTTAACCAAGATGCTTCCTTCCAATTCCACACATACCTGCAGATAAGGAAAGCTGGTAAAAACACTACCTAATAGTTCAAGTACCACTTCTTGGTAGTTCGGAGAGATTTCTCAGTTTTTCTTGTCCAAATTTGCAGTAAAATTAGATTAATTAGCTTGTCCGCCATGCTAACACACAGTATTGCTTGCAAACTGTTACAATACATACCAACTATTACACACAAGAGAGATACACACATATGTACCAGAAACCAATTGCAAACACCTTCAAGAAGATGTATGTTTTTCACACTCTGCCTACAGCACTGGCAGAGCCCGATGAATATTCATCACAATGTTGCCCCAAAGCAGCTGATTGGCTGCCTACAACAGTATAGGATCCCTTGTTGACACAGAATTGCTTATGGTATTCTGTGCAGTAAATAAGTAGTACATCCAAATAAATGCATTACTTATACATGTACTGTGTATGCATAATCTGTGCATGCACAAATGTTCATCTTCTAATGTGCTGTGGTTTTAGCCGATGTTGGCATATCTTAAATTTATTAATTCAAACAACACATTGTTGCGACTCATTAATGAAATTGTCTGTGACAAACGAATTGAACACTTATATGGAATACTGAGAATAAAGCATTAGATCATTTAATGATAAAATGTCACGTACATGTACCAAACTCAAGGGAGGTCTTTCAGACCATTAGTATCAATGTTACCTGTCGCACAATCAAAGCAAAGCTGGTGACTTCAAATTTTTGAAGTTATTTTGTTTCCTGCAAAAAGTATAGTGGAACTGGAAGTGGTTAGTCATCGTCAATGCTACATGTACATATACTGACTAGGTAAAAGGTTCAATGGCAGGTTGAATGCAACATCCTTGGAAAGCTTTCTTTCCAGAGCCTAGATTCTTTTTACACACCACATGCTCAGAGCTCATTCATGTTCCACATCCCCTAGTCATCTTCTCATGGATTTCTTCCAACTGAATGAATTTTTAAACTTGATACTGTGAATACAACAGACTAGAGAATGTGCAACAAAATCTTAACGTAAAGATACATGTAAAGTATCTGAAAAATCTTTTTTATGACCAAGTATCAATGGTTATTGATTTTTTTTTTCCATTCAGTAGTAATGTACATACATATATGACAGTCTGCTCTGATTCAGAGCACAAAGAATGTAATTCATTTAAATTTACGGAAATCAATGTGGGTAGCATGTGACACAGTCATAAACTGGTAATGAGCCTCGACAGCACATATTTCATGTGGTGCACATTACTCAGAAGGGATTTCCCCATTGAGCAACGCAACCAAGGCTATACATACCTTGGCTGCTGTTTGAAATTGCACATGACTCTATGACAACTGGCTGCAGCCACTACCATAGAATTTGTGCAGTTTCAAGCCTTAGCCAAGTAACTCATACACAGCCTTGGCTACCAGTTTCTAGATAGAAGACTCCTTGAGGTATTCCCAGATCAGTGCAATATCTGTGAGAGCAGTCCATACATAGGAACCAATGCTACCAACAATTGTGACACAACACAATCGTGCGTTACACAGTGAAGAGAACGGCCTGCACTGAAAGCTTGTCAACTGAAATTGTGTTCAAAGGGTCTCATAAAAAAAGTGTATCACAATGTTTGACGACTTGTGGGCTTACATGTATTTGCCCCTCATGTACAAGTACTGGTACTGCATGCCAATATTTCTTGGGCTGGTCAGTGCACTGTACATGTACATTCAAAGAAGGTGGCAATCCCACATCAGCCAACCAACTGACAGGGCTAGAGTGGGCAATAGTGCTTCCCCTGGGAAAGCCCCAAGGAAGGACAGAGTCCAAGCACTACCCCTCAGTGTCAACTACCACTTCACCAGGCAGTGCAACTACTCCTGTGGGTTCTGCTTCCACACAGCCAAGACATCCTTTGTCTTGCCGATTGAGGATGCCAAAACAGGAATCCGTATGCTGAAAGATGCAGGTTGGTACAATTACAGGTAGTGTTGAATTCAATCTAAAAATGGACAAAATTATCATGTCCTGAACATGTGCTTATCTGTTGTGTTCTTATAGGCCTACATGTGCGAATACATGTACATGTATCTTTCCTCCCTTTATCAGATGTATTGTATAAAAAGTAACATGCATGCACATTCCAATTATCTGTAACAGCAACTCACTAACACACCAACCGAGGCAGTGAAATTACTGATATTACAGTGGCACGTACACTGTACATGTGCATCATGTACATGTACATGTACACACGAACTAGTCCAGGTATGTAAACTTGTGCAAAAAAATTCCGGATGCACTGGTAGAGTTGTTGGCAGTATTCTTGTTTGAACTTTTTGGGAAAACAGCAAACCCAAAGGCACAAAAAGTTGCTTCACAGGTACACTTTATAAACATGGGCATGATTTTTTTCTACAAAAACTTAATGAGTTTCCAACATCAAATCTGACACTTTAGTTCAATAAACATGTACATGTACTGTGTAATGCTATAGCAATACTGTATGATGCTGTGAAGATTTTCTAAAGTAATTCTGGATGTAATTGTCAGTCAAGTTTTGGGATCAGGAAGTTCACAATAAAGGAATAAACAAACAGTAAAAGGCTTCACTGTTTGGTATTTGGAAAGACTAGCAACGCACTACAATTTGTACTGGGGAAGTCCCTCATCTGAGAAATAAATGTTCTACCGTATGAGAAATCTGCATTAGTCATGCAAGTGAGACCAGGCTCTTGAACAAAACACTGAAAGGTAAGAAGGGGAATCTAGTCATACAGAAATGTGTACATGTATGTTTAGTTTAGTAAATCTTCAGCAACTTTAATGCTATTCTTAACTGGAAATGAGTTCTTATGCCCCCTCAACATTTTATTTAGTACTGGTACGTATTGTCATTATGAAAAATTTTTTCTTGCCAAATCTTCAAGCCATTTTTCTGTGATGTCTTAATGGTACAATCATCTGGAAAATCAGGTGTGCCATTTCTTGCAACTAGCCATTTTTCTTGAGACAGGACAGCCTGGACATGCATGAGGTTTTCAACAAAAAGCCCCATCTCAGATTGAATTGCAATGTGCATGCCAAGTTCATAAAGTGTTGGGCAATGGAAAGCCAAGATCTTAGGGGTGGGAGATCATCCCCATCCTCTGGGTTGTGCAATGGTCCAACAAGCTTATTTAGGGTTGAGCATTCAAATTGACTGAGAAGAATTTTTCAACTGCATTTATTTACTTATTTATTCACAGTGATTTACCACAGGGTGGTTGATCTTACAAGCATCATAATTTTAACAGAGTAGTATAACTATATGCAAAATTAAAAATTAAAGACTAGAAACGTATAAAAAACATTCTAAAGTACTTATAACATTTAACGAAATAAAAACTGAAACATAATGAACCTTGCAGGTTGGATAATGTGCACACTCTTGGATGAAACTGCATTGTCGCATCTAAATCAGTAAAGAACCTCAGTGTGTATTCTGAGCACAATGTCCATGTCAGAACATATACATGTACATGAAGATTACATGTGTACATATACATGTGTAAATGCATCTGGTTTCAGTTGAAAGTATTTCTCATTCAAGGAAATAGGCCTACATCACAAATGATGGTCATCCTCATGCTGTATTGCAGCCATGCCCTCTCTCAATACTGCAACAGACCGAGGTCCCTCAAGTGTATTTGAGGAAATTACAGAGTTTACAAAATTGTGCAGCCCGCATTATCTTTAAAGTTGATTGTCACTATCATGCAATACCATTGTTAAAGTCTTTCTACTGGCTCCCAGTGAATAAAAGGATTGTTTTTAAGATTCTCTTGCTTGTCTTGAAATCCTTTAATAACCAGACACCATTGTATGTACAGATTTCCTTATGTCGTTTACTCAACTCTGTGGTAACCTTCGCTGTGGTGCAGATTCACTTCATTTCTCATAACAATGTACCTCAAAACTCAAACTAGAGCAGGTGATCATACCGGCCTTTACAGTTGTGGCAGCCAAAGAATGAAATAAATTACCTATTTGGATTCGGAATGCCAGATCTATTAACCAATTTGAACAATCACTGAGATCACATCTCTTTCCTCTGTTCATGTTCGTGTAATTGTACTTTTGGCTGTTAGTTAATAGTACATACCAGTATTTACATTTACTTTGTTTTGGGAACTTGATTGTCTTATGAGGTACGGTGTAATGGGTTTTTTGTCACAATTGTAAATGTTGTGATGTAGTTTATGAATAGCTTCTCTAAATGCATAATGATAATAATCAGTAAACAAAGAAAAATTTATGATGCTAGTGACAAAAATAAAACTTTGCTGAACTGATTCCAATACCAAAGTTATAAAACGTTGAAAACCCCTTGACAAATTACATGTACACGTACAGTGAAGTACCAGTACATGTAACTACATCTGTACATGTACATGTACATGTAATTTTAGGGAAGTGTACATGTACTTACAAGTACACATGTACCACCTCAGTCACTATATACTATACTAATAGGGAACTGTACAGGTACCATCCGAGTCAATATGTACCGGTACCATACTAATAGGGAACTGTACAGGTACCATCTCAGTCAATATATACCGGTACCATACTAATAGGGAACTGTACAGGCACCATCTCAGTAATATACATACCGGTACAATACTAATAGGGAACTGTACAGGTACCATCTCAGTCAATATATACCGATACCATATTAATAGGGAACTGTACAGGTACCATCTCAGTAAATATGTACCATACGAATAGGGCACTGTACAGGTACATGTACCATCTCAGTTAATATGTACCGTGCTAGTCGAGAACTGTACAGGTACCATCTCAGCTAATACATGTATATACCATATTAATAGACTTGTACCTGTACTACGGTATACTGTACTACACTACGGTATACTGTAAGTAAAGACTGTACAATCAATAAGCAATCCAAGCTAAAGTCTCCAGGTGTCCTTTCTCTATGGTGCAACCATAGAGTCAAGGTTTGACCAGGGCACTATGAAGGTGAAAGTTCACTCTTCCATTCTTTCAGTTCCCTGTGGATGGCATTGGGTGTGATCAGCATTATTCTGGGCAAACAGAGAGGTCAGCCTCTACCTGGTGGTAACCTGGACAAGTGAAACAGGTTAGGGCCATGCATGGCCAAATGGATTTGTATCTCAATGACTACTCATCTGTTCTCCCAAATGTGGCATTGTATATGTACATGTATATCTGTTGCAAGATGCTTGATAAACAATACACACACAGACCCGTGAATGGTGGCAATGTCAACTGTTTTGAGGCAGAATTATTCTGATCTGCTGGCTAGGATGGAAGCTGAGATGAATGCCTCGTCTGAAGGCATTTGGACTTGGGTCAGCTGCAACTACTGCACAAATACATGCACACGTACATGTATTACTTTTTCCCTGTTGGTGGCATGTTACTTCTTTTGCATGTGGATGCGACCTCGCATGAAGTTGCTTTTGCACAGCAACAAGCAACACATTGATATGACTAGGGTGGACAAAGATGCTACCCCTGGAGGCGCCCAAGGGGGGGATGGAGACCTAGCCCCGCACGTACCCCTCAGTGTCAACTACCACTTCACCAGGCAGTGCAACTACTCCTGTGGGTTCTGCTTCCACACAGCCAGGACATCTTTTGTTCTGCCCATAGATGAGTCCAAAAGAGGAATCCGTCTGCTGAAAGATGCAGGTTTGTACAGAGTACAACTGGTGCAGGTTACAATGTGGCAAAACTAACAGACTCCAAGCTCACACAATATTGTTCACAGAAATCTGCCTGAGAACCTTCAGCACTGTACTCAACAGAATATCTACAATATGAAATCTTCACAGCTGTCTACTATTTTAAGGGCATTGTAAACGTTCCAGTATTTCTTATTCTTGGAGAAAAAAAAAAGTAAATCTGAAAATGATATTCCCAGAAGAAATTACACAACTCCACACATCGAATAGAATACCAACACCGAGCAACATTACATCTGAGCAATACATACATGTACATGTACATACATACACGTGTCCGTGTACCAGCAAGGGCAGGTACATGTACAATGTAATGTACATGTACATGTAGTGTGCATGTGCCCCAGTGATAATGTTGCACAAAGATGGACTGCCAGTAACAGACAGAACTATCTTCAGAAGTATTTATAACATTGTGAGAGTATTCACAACATGACAACATGAGTGCATGTACACATATACAATACATACATGTACATAATGTACATATGCATACATGTGCATGTACCCGTACATTTACGATAATTTGTCATGTACAACCACATTTTTTGTGCCGTACATGATATTCTTCATAACTTAAAGTAATAATCAAATGTTCTCCCATACTGGAATTTTTGTTCCGAACGGTGCAGTCTTTCAGTGTTGAAGGACACACATTGGCATGTACATGTATACAGAGCAAGTATTGAACTACCCAGAGGAGGTGGGGTACATGTACATGAAGTGAATGGCAAAATTCTTCATTTTTTTTTATCAGAGACTAAACATTCGTCCACTTTGAGGGAAGACAATGTGGTAGAAGAGAAATGTTCAGAAGACAACTGTACTAAGAAATGACCATATGTATATGTGCATGTACCTTATTGAAATAAGTCAACCAAATTCCTGACCCTTCTAAGGTGTACACATAAATCATATGGTACATGTTCATGGTGCATTGATGGAAAACATGAACTACATGTACATTTGTTAACATCTTCAAATTCTTTTTTTTTAACAAGGACTTGTGTATTCAGTGGATTTTTCGAAATGCAGAAATGCATCATTTCAGTTGAATAATGCTGCTGGTCATTCCTTCTGCTACCGGTGACACAAGTACTTTCTTTTTATTTAAATCATTGCCTTTTTTCTTGACAAAAACACAGGTATGCAGAAGATCAATTTCTCTGGCGGCGAGCCGTTCATTGTGCAGCGAGGAAAGTTTGTGGGGGAACTTGTGCGATTCTGCAAAGTTGATCTGCAGCTTCCAAGTGTCACCATCGTCAGTAACGGCAGCCTGATAGATGAGAAATGGTTTAAAAACTACGGTATGTCAGGGTCATTCACATCTAATTAATGAGCTGGTTTTAAAACTGATGCATTGATCAACAGAACACTGAGGAAAAAAATTACATTAAATCCTTGAAATCTAGGAAACAACTGTAAAAATGACAATCTGTTATAAACTCAACAAAAAATATTTAAATAAATGTACATTTTGTACAAAACTTGGACATTTTATTTACTTATTTACACTCTTGCCCAATTCTTGAACTACTGGTATCATACCAGACTTGGATTTTCAAACCATATACATGTATCAGTACATGTAAGTCACACTTTAATTTGTCGTTTTTGAGGGGTGATTTCTCGACAACCTGTGACAACGATTCTGACAGACTAAGTCTGAAAGACATGTATTCATCATACGCATTAATACGTGAAAAATACCAGTGCAGTATTTTTAAGTGATTTACCGGTACATGTACATGTACACTGCTCAAAAAAAAGTATGGACCACTTTTTATTTTGTGTATACTTTTTTAAATGAGACATTTTACGGCTGAAAAGGTGCATTTGATGTTTTGAAACATTAAAAAAAATTTTATTCCAATGAGAACACCATCTAGGCAAACAAAAAATGAAAGAACTAAACCCCACTCATTACTTGGAAAAAAATTAAAAGTTAAGAAAAAAGTGGTCCTTAACTTTTTTTTTAGTCGTGTACATGTACGAGTACCAGTCAGAAATTAATCTAGCTACATGCAAAATTCTTCATTTTCCATGAGAGTATTGGGCTGAGTAAAGCAAAACTTTACAGCTCAGAGCTACCTAGAAGGAACATGGGATTGAAGACTCCAGAATGGCTGGTCACTGGCTTAGAACTACAAAAGGCTTGGGCTGAGGGTATGAGGACTAAAAAAGTGTTCAGTTTTCCAGTTCGTAACATATGCACTAAGTACTTGTACATCTACATACACTGCTGTTTAATGTTTCATTCTCTCTCAGGTGAGCATCTTGACATCTTGGCTATTTCCTGTGATAGCTTTAATCCAGAGGTCAATGAAAGAATTGGACGACAACAAGGCCAGAAGAATCACCTTGACAGTTTGCAGCGCGTGCGAGATTTGTGCTCAACGTACAAAGTAAGCGCAAAGCACTATGCAACTGGGACCACAGAAACATGTACATACACAGTACACATACATCAGAACAAAAAGTTGATGTGAAAGTACAGTACATGTATGACAATTACACCCTCCACTTGTCATGGCTTGGGTTCAAATCCTACTGAAACTAACGTGTGAATTGAAAATGTCCTGTCCCATAAATATGTATACAAACAACAATACCATAGGCTCTGATGAGGAATTTGGGTTTCTATGATAACAATCAAATGGCTGCCTGTAAGCAAAAAATGCTCCAAAGGGAGACTGCTAAAAAAAAACATTAGCGCACAATATTGAAGCATACATGTACATCCACTGAGTCACACATGAAGGGATATGCACAAGACACATTATACGTACATATACACACTTATGCATGGTAACAGATCAGTCCCCACTGATACATGTAGCCTATGTATTATGTCATGATATGGAAACACTACAATACATGTATAAATACTGTAACTAACAAAAACATTGATGTACGCAGTCAGGAAAGTTGGATCAGGTTCAACTTTTCCATCTCACATACATGTAACTCATTTTACCACATACATGTACATGTATGCCACCCTAACTGTCTGTCTAACATAAGTATGAGTTTGGCTTCAAGAGGCAGTATTGCCACCTCAAAAAGTCATTTTATGCAAAATGTTTCCAGTTTTGGATGCTATTTTGTTTAATTTTTTGGGGGTGTAATAACATCAGCCAGCATCTGTTTTGTCTGCGTCTTGACATTTACATGGCACTGGCATTCGTCACAACTACATGTATGTGGAAACCAAGCTTTACACAACATACCCGAATGAATCTCTGAAGTGGATAGTGCAGAATGAGTTGCATACTGTTTAAGTGAACAACGTAATGACACAAACGTGCACTATTCAAGGAACAATGTAGGGCATTTCGGAAACAGTTACCGGTATCTCCCTATGTCTTCAACAATTGTTCAACAAAGAAAGCACTGATTTGCAAAATATAGGGACAAGTTATTGTCTTTCTTGCTCTGAAGATCATCAGCAATCATTTCTTTGTCTGCAACTGTGCTTTTCCCTACAGGTTGCATTCAAGATCAACAGTGTCATAAATACACACAACAAAGATGAAGATATGGTAGACTATATCACTAATCTTAACCCAGTCAGATGGAAGGTAATGTACCCCCTCTACAAGTACAATGAACCCAGTCACATTTTCCCCTGAAGTAAGAATTGTCAGTCAGTAAAAATTATGATGGGAAAAAGTGAAAAATCATAAAGCCCTCTCTGGCAAGTTGGTGTACATGATGATGTTACCAGGTACATGTACATGTAAGGTGTGTTATGGTATATGCACCTTGCATCTCACAAGTGAGTTGGCTTAAGTGGCTGCCATGATGAGACAGACACTTACGTCTGATATGATGAGAAAGGCAAGACTCTTCCTCCTTGCAGGAAAGCAATGACTGCTCTTTGTGTAGAATTGCATATCCTCAACTACCTGTACATGTACATGGCTTGAGCCATGAAAACTGATTATCTCATACTGCATCCTGTTGGAATAAGCCATTTGCCAGTTAAATTTGAATAAAATCTGGTGCACTGAGTTATCTGTCGGCACATAAACAAAATGATTTGAATTCACCTGACTAAAGACACTGTTGCTATACCTCGTGATTCGGGGCAAGCTTTTGCATAGCGACCACCATCTCTGGAATGGACTAGTTCCTTTGTGCCCTTCTTATCCATTGAGAACAGTGTATCGTTACAAGGCGTCACTTATGTAACTAAGCAAAAGCTTGCCCCAAATCATGAGGTATAGCAACAGTGGTTTTAGTAAGGAGAATTCAAGTTGTTATGTTCACGTGAATTTAAAGAACTCAGTGTACCAGATTTGGGTCAAAATTAACTCACAAAAGGCTTATTGAAATGACTCCTCTGGCAGCAGCTGCCCTCTGTGGACCCGTTCAAAGCTCAGTATACCGATGGCTGAGCCACAAACTTGGGGGGGGGGTTGACTCTGGTCACAAGGAGAGCAACAGTCACAAGGCTGGCGGCCTAGTGCAGCTGTTCCCTTCAACTTTGTCAGCTTTCCTTCAACAAGTTAATGTCATAACTGTGGACTTTCTCTCTTCTTGTCTCCATGCTGTTTGATGTCACAGTTCCTTTTGAAGGGCAATTGTTGAGAACATCCCTTTGTTGGTCCTCAGACCTGTTTATCTTGCTTGGTTCTAATAAAAGATATTTTATCACCTATCCATTTTTTTGGAACCAGCCTCGTTCAACCTGAGCTTTTTGCTGCCACTGCTATCCTCTTCATCCAATGATGTTTATAAAAGCCTTTTATGTTTTTGTCATTCATGCATTTCCTACATGTACTTAGGTTTTCCAGTGTCTTTTGATCGGAGGAGAGAACTGTGGCGAAGATGCCCTTCGTCATGCTGAGTCCTATGTCATAAGTGAAGAAGACTTCCAGGCATTTCTAGACAGACACAAGGATGTCAAATGTTTGGTGCCAGAATCAAATGACAAGGTAGAGATTCATGTACAACATAGCCAAAAAACAAAAGAAAAATACCAAGTAATGAATAATGACAAGAAACTAGTTGGTTGAATTTAAAAAGTCTGGAGTACTTCTGGAAGAGGTGATTGAACCCATGCAAGACTATGACTGTAATGGTTTGTGAACTAAAACGTACAGAATCACCTTTGTAAAGGTTCTGTCATTATCTGATGGATCAAATTCATTTTCTTTACTCTCCTTTCTTTGCAACACAGATGCAGAACTCTTACCTCATTCTCGATGAATACGTAAGTAGTCGCACATGTACCGTGAGACTGTATGGAACTTATTGGTACATGTACATGTAGGTGCAAGGACACTCTTGAAACTGCCTGCACTTACATGTACATTATACATGTACACGTACATGTATCTCCACATTTTCAACAGCACATGTACAGGTATCAGGTGCATTAGAGGTTTACATACAGTACATAATTGCTGATTCATAACAGGAGTAGAAGGTGGCGTATAACATTAAAGCCCTGTACTCAATGAAAAGACCATCAATTAATATGGAAACAGCAGCTGTCTGAAACATTGACAACACTCACTACCGGTTCTTTTAAGAACTACCAGTAAATTTGTTCAAAGAAGAGACAGGTTCCAGGACTGTGCGGAAAGCTATCATCTGTACCATACCGGTACCTTAAAAGGATCTTCTAAAGTGGCTTCAATGAAAAGAAATAAATTACAAATTAGTTTGATCTTAAAACTGAAGTCACTATAAAGGTGTTCGCCGGTTTGGCCCAGTTTTTTCTTTTTTCACTGTCAAACTGTTTTATTTGTTCAAATTTGAATGAATTCTGAATTTCACCACAGATGCGGTTTTTGGATTGCACTAAAGGAAGCAAAGACCCTTCCAAGTCCATTCTGGACGTTGGTGTGACTGAGGCACTCAAGTTCAGTGGTTTTGATGAGCAGATGTTCTTGAAGAGAGGAGGCAAGTACAAATGGAGTAAAGCAGACATGAAGCTGGACTGGTAATCTGATGACTTACATGTACATGTACAAAACACTTCTCTATGTACATGTACCAGTACATGCCCCAGTCTTCAGTGTGAAACCTGAACTCCTCACAGTACAGTAAAGCACTAATGTCCTCCGACTGAATTTGCTTCCAAAGCCTGTTGGGCTGCCTACACTGTATATCTTTTACTCAGATATTAACTCCCGTGGTAACACATCAAGTTTAGAATAACTCAAAACAACAGAACTTAATCATGGGGCAGCCATTTCGTTTTTCTACCATTGGAAGAAGTGTTACCGAACTGAGGATGGAAGAAAATGGTCTGTTTGCATTTATCAACACGTAAAGTTGTATTACTTTGGCATTTAGTATACAGGAGCTAGACAAAAATGGTGGCATCATGATAAAGGTTTACAGAGATTTATAAATGCTTGCAACTGACACCAATGTTCTACACAGTACCAGTACATGTTTGTATTAACATGTATAAACACAAAGTATCAACATTTATATATTTTAGCAGAAAGTTGTTAATTACAATTTGTTCTTGTCTAAGCTTGTACCGGTACCTTGTGATCGTGTTTCTACATGTGTATGTATCACCTACATGTACGGATTTGTTTACCATAAGGTTAAGTGTGGTTACCCGTGGTTACCTAGATCGAGCTTCCCAGTTACTTACATGTACTCCTCAATACGCTTATGTAACTTGTTCACAAAGTGACCTTGTCAATTTGCATTAATTGTAAGCTCTTTTGGATCCAGACCAGCATTTTTATTCAAAAAGTAACACCACCTCAAAATTATTTTCTTTTAGACCAGTTTGCTGATAACTTTAAGGCAGTGAGTAGCAAAAACACATTTTCTTGCTTTCACCAAAACGCTCGGAGCCTACGTAAGAATTTTGATAATATGATTGACTATATAAACATTCTTCAATACCAATTTCATGTCACTGGTTTCAGCAAAACATGGCTAGACGACAAGAGCCCAGATTTCTGCATTAAAAATTACTCATGTGTGAAGAAAAATAGGTAGATAAAACTGGTGGTGGTGTTGCCTTATATGTGCATAATTCTCTTAACTTTTTTGTACGCAATGATCTCAAACTAAGTAACTATGCCTGTGATTCTCTTTTCATTGAAATTCCCCATTCTCAGGGTAAAAGTATTACAGTTGGCATAATCTACACACTGAAATAATGTAATGTACATAGTGGTATGGTACAACAGTCATCCCCAATGGCTTAGTCAGTGTTCAAGTACATGCTTAATGTTCACTCAACCACTGTGCCTGTACATGTACCACATTTACATTTAGCAGTGGCACACATAGTGTACATGTACATGCACAGTGGCTTATACAGTGTACATGTACATGTGTACATGTACCAGGTAATGTACCATGAGTGATAGCCCCTTAGTGACCCTTCATTGTGACAATATACCGGTAGTGGTGCATGTAAAATGCAATGACTTTCATGTACTACGCCTACCAGTACATCTACTTTGAAAGTAATTTCCTGAGAAAAATGTCCAGCCCTCTAAATTTACTTCTTCAGGTGAAAACAAGAAAACTATCATCTTTCCATTTTCAAACCATGATTGGAAATCATTGTATACATTTTTATGTGCAGTGAAAAAAAGACTACTGATATGAATATATTCTCGTTCACTCAAATTGGTAACTTAAGGCTCATTTCACCTTGAAGTCACACCTTGTTTCTACCGAGAGGAAGGGATATCACATGTATGCTTGAAATAGTGTACCTCCATGGTACCTCTGATCAAGTAAAAAGGTTTTTTTCAGCCATTTTGAAAGAAATCAGCACTCCTAAACAAGTGCAAACAGTCTTTATTAAACCTTTTCCGATGCAAGTCATTAATACTTTTTAACATATCTTGTCCTTCCACAGTAGTGTGCACGTTACCATTGTACATGCACAATATCCGGCAAATCACCGAAAGATTGCCAAATCGCTACCTGTACCTCTTACCCACTTGTAGCCCACACACTGACAGTCCAATCTCTGGCACATTGTGGTGGTCAGTGTGACTGCATTGGAAAACTAACTTTTGCAATTTTAGATGGGGGCAGACATCTTTAAGTAAACCCAATGTAACAAACTATGGAAATGATAACACACCCTAAGAATCAATAAAAGAGGAAAAATCGTGTCTAAATCAATAGTCCAACTGGACAGAGTGAGTTACGGTGGAAAGACTCTGATAAAAAGAATAAACATTATAGAAAAAAATCACAGAACCTTTGCATTTAAACTCAAAATCGAGAAGCTTCATCAGTTCCCCCAAGCTCCATTGACATGTACATACCGGTATGATGGAAGTTTACTGTAGTACTGTAATTGGCCTTTGATGGTTTGTGTAAACACTTCACCAAAGTTTCCCATTGATATTTTCACATGTTGAAACAGAAATTATGAAATAAGCATTTCAAAACTGAAAGCATCATACATGTTACCAAAAAAATTACATAAAAAGAGCACATGTACACGATACAGTACATGTACGGTATATACCCCCCCCATATGCAGAGTTTCAAAAACTGAGCCCACATTACATGTAGGTGGTTATTCGTTTTATACACCAGATCAGCCAGTACAACCATTTCCACTTTATTCAAATGAATATGAAAATCAAATATTACAGTACAGCAGACGTTAATGAATGATAAGCTACTGAAGAGGAATTGTTGCCAGGAATAGATAGTCTTAACAACTTTAACACTTTCGCTTGCAATGTACTGTGCGTAAAATACTGACCTCAACTGAACATGTACACTACCAGAGCAACACTTACCACTTCTTACAGTGGGATGCTCCCAAGATGAACAAATCCTAGTCACTTGAAGATTTTGTCTGCAGAGACTGCCCACTCAAGGATCCATTCAGAAGTACACGTATGCGGGTTCTACCTACGGTACATGTACCCTGTCTCCACTTCTGGGTGAAGAATTAACATACAGCAGTATGTACATGTACATGTGCAGTGTACCCAGTCCCTGTAATTTGATAACAGAGACAAGTCCCTGTCAGGAAACAGGATTGATAGTAAGATTTTTCATTTCAGTAATCACATTTCTTTAATTTGCATAATTTAACTGAGCATGTGTGACTTCAGTCCAGACAATTGCATGTGCTAGTAAATGGCTGGAAAAAGTCTCTACATTTGTAGGTTTGTCCAATCAGAATTACATCCAATAAAGTTGTTGCTTTTTTAATTCTTTCAGCATGACAACTGAAACATGTACCAGTAGCTTCATTACTACCCAAGCTGAAAACAGGTTGAGTACATACAGCAGAAGATTGTTGCAATGTGCTTCCGAAAGCTTTTTCGAAATGTAAATTTATTCAAAACCGTGTGTACAAAAAAAACAGAGTAGGGCTAGTACGCATACAATGATACATGTTATGTAGATCCCTCTGAATCTCATCTGTCAACTGAGGGCGCTCTTACAATTTGACAATGTAAAGAACAACTTACAGTACATGTATTTCCAACTTCACATTGGAACATGCACTAGGCATGATCAATCGACCTGTGGTTTGAAGCTCTTACATAATTTTAAAGACGTAATGAGTTACATCCAATTTCAATTTACCGGCATTTGTACGGAAGAGAGCAACTTTCCAACCATAAACTGCATATTGTTGGTCCCTCACTAAACTACCATACACCACCCTACACTTCCTTTTGTGTATTAGATTTTACTTTTGTTTAAATATTGTTTTGGTTATATGTACTTCATGTACCGGTATATATTCTTTCAATAGCATCTTTTAATATAAATTTATTTCTTTGTGTTAATGCATACTGTCATAATTCAGAACGTACATGTACATGTATGTAAAAAGTACCTTGCATTTGTACCAATTTCCCGTACACTCACAATACCACTCAGATACTCCAAGCCGGAACATGCCAGGTATTCATGATTTCAAATATTCAGTCCACTCATTCATTATTCTCACAAATGGCCACTTCCCATTCCAAGCCCTGATCACATTTAATGACCTCTATTTACCATTAGCCCAACTCCCCTGATGGCCATGCTGTAGCACTGAGCATGAGAAGTGGAATGATTATTGGGTTATTAGTCGAGGGCAACGAAGCCTTTCTGAGCTAAACCACCAGGCCCGCAGTCAGAAGAACAGGTTTTTTTACCACTTTGTCTTTTATTTTTCACATCGTCACAACCATATCATCCTAATTCACATCAGTGGCTTGAGTACAGCCATCTGGATCACATTCAGATATTTGATAAATTGGCATAGACACAGAATGCATCTCATACATGATGATGTGGAACAAATTAATCTTTGGTCTTGTTCTTTTTGGTACATGTATGTCTTTTTAAGGAAACCTACATGTATCAAATTAAAAATGCACCAATGTAAAATCACCCTTGAAAGCTATCATGCTTGTATCATTTCAATCTGCAATGAATTTTTAATGTGAAATATTTTGTTCGCAGATAGGGTATGGTTGTATGCTTGTAAACTAACATTTTTCTAACAATGGCACCATTTCATGTATTGAAGAGGAATTTGAACCAGCATGTAATAAAAAAATATTTCACAATGAGTGAGGATTGCACAAGGACATGTACCGGGTATGTGTACACAATTTTCTTTCTTGTATGAGTCCTCAATGTACATGAGCCCTCATTTCAAACTTTATAGCTGTATAAAACTTCATTGACCTTTATCTGCGGGTACAAGTACATGTAGTATCAATGACAACATTGTGTGAAATTAATGTAACAAGTCTCATCACAATAGGTATTGTACTTGTACATGTATCTGTATAAATGAATAACAGACTTGTAACTAGACTTCATTGGGTGTCCATCATGTACAGTGTACATTGTATTGTATGGTTGCCATACTAGCTGCACCTTAGTGCTCCAATGTCAAGAAAATACCGGTACCTGATTTGCTAAAAAAAAAACAAAAAAAACTACATACACATGTACCAAAGTCTTTGGCCTTCATTTAGTTAACAAATGTCTGAAAATGGAAGGTTTGGGAGTCTTCCAATTTTTCCTCAATTTTCGTAAGTGTACAAAACATATGCTGGGGCCGAGGTTGACTGCCAGTGCACATGTACACTTTTCATTGTGTAACTTTAAATTGCGTAACAATTGACCACTGTCATGTTTTATGTACTCTTAATGGGGTGTCAGATGAAAAGAGTAACTTTTTTGGTGCTAGAGAAAATGACTGGGGACAACGGATGACCTTATTAATGGTCAATATGGAGCTGGTATGACAACATACATGTACCAGTATGGTACCAGTAAATCAAACATTTGGAAGCAGCCCGTTAAAAACTACCCCTGCATTTCACTACAACACACATTGTGAATGTCAGACCACAAATTAAACATACTCCTGAAAGTTTCTCTATCCAATGCAAATGATACTGCTGTGTAATTGTTGACTCAGGGCCCAGTTACCCTGTGCCTGCCTACACTCCTCAATTCTACCCTTGAACAAGCTGCTCAATCAAATGAAACCTCTTCTTTGGCAATACATGTACATGTACGTCCCCTACTCCCTTCGATTCTCAAATCAGAAACTCAAACAGACTCAAGACAAACGCTGTTAAAACTGCTCCTGTTATTCATCTGAAATCAGCACTGTGAATTCCATAGTCTACTGATCATGGTGAGGAGTTGAATTTTGTCTAATCCAGATGTATACAGTGGGTGTACATGTACAAATACGCGCCAAAACCAGCAGAATGCCCAGTCTTGCTACAGGTAAAACACACCTGTGCCAACACACAAGACATACTCATTACAGAACTTCAGCTACATGTACCAGTACACTGTACATGAAAATAAGGCAACCATTCAATATCCATATTCTTAATACAACACACCGTACATGTACATGTAAATATTCAGGAGAAATTGCTACTACGTAGCTTACATTTACATGTATTTTAGTGAAAACAGTTCCAACCTCAGACTCTTAACTGCTACTGTATGGGGGGGACACAAAGCCCTACGATACCATTGTGTGATGTGCCTGTCCTAACCTACAAAATCCTCCAAACCTCCCACTAGGATTTTGAATGATCTTGAGAGGCTCGTACCAACTGTAACCTTGAATTGCAAGTAGGCCTACTCCATGTAATGTTCATGTACACGAACCAGTAATGATGCCACATTGCATATTTGTGGTGTAGCATGAAAACCAAGAGAGAAAAGTAGACAGGTTTGATGACAATTGTAAAGGGGAAGAGATGCGATTCACTGCCCTGGGCCTTCCCTAAAAAACTTCAGGAAAGAATTTGCAACCTCTTTCAGGCAGGCAATGACAAACGCTTGCGGGTGTTTACGCATGTAGGCCATAACACTGCAATTAGGTAGGTGCCATCAATTTAAAGACTCAAGAATAAATCTGGTGCAAGTGACTTCTTGTCTGCAATCAATCAAGTACCAAACAAGAAAACCTTCCTGCTCCTTGCCAAGAAATGAACTCAATAAATCCACACCGGAGACATTTTTGGGTTGCCGGGCCCAAGGAAGATATGCGCAAGGTAAATTACAAATTGGGAGTTTTGAGGTTATCCAAATACAGTCACTGAAAGAGAAAAGACACACCTGAAATAAATATAACATTTGAGCAGATGTGTTGGAGAAGGGAAGAAAATAGTTTTAAACTTGATTTTGTACAATAAAATATGAACGTGAACATGTACATGTATACTAGTTTGAACTGCACAGCATGTAAGTAAAAAGAGCTTTTGGTTAAAAAAACAAAGAGAGAGAGAAAATTCTTCCAACTCAAATCAACTTGTAGTCCACTAATTTCCTCCCAAAACAAACATCTGTCTACATCTTTGCTGCATTGAGTAAACATGGACTGCCAGTTATGTCATGTTGACACTAATATTTCAAGACATTGGCAGACAGACTTACACATTCCCCCTGAAACCCCAACATGGCAAAATAAACCATTCAGAAACCAGGTCAGGCAGAAGACAATTCCAGCTGACAAGATCCCCAGTGTTACTCATACCGCGCCCGGCGCAAACTGGCCAGGCACGCTATCTCAAACAATTTGTCCAGTGCCGCACTAAAATATTCAATTTTCTATTCACCTGCTCATCTTCCACCCCTCCCCTATGTCTCTCAATTCCTTTCAAAATCAGACCGAGATGTCAGAATACCCCATTTTAGCCAGAGGCTTTTATTGAATCAATTTCTGGGACACTGTCCCAGAGACACAGACAAGAGCAAAATTAATTACCACATTTGGCAGTCATTCAAGTTCAACAGAACCCCGGTGAAATTGATTGGCAAACGGTGCATGTTCAGAGAGAAGCATGTGACTTCAGTGTGTGTCGACAGTACTTGCCAGCACATTAATTACATGCATGTCTTACAGCAATACCTTGGCAACCTGTTTCAGACTACTGTACATGTAGGTGCTTTATAGTACAAAAAAATCTAAAGGATATTGTGCCATGCATGTACAAAGTACATGTACAGTACATGTGTCTGTACACCCTTGGATGGTGTGAACATGCACCTGTAAAGTACATGTACATGTGCATCCCTAAAGTGACAAAGTGATTTCAGATTTGCGGCCTGTCATGATTTCAAATTAAAACATACATGTACCGGTAAGTACCACTAAACCAGTACTTATGGTCAAACACAATATCATTAACAGTCTGATATCTGGATGTTCTGATTATGAAATTTCACGAGGTATAAAACCACCAGAGGGCGCCATACATAGTTTCAGTCTGACCTGTGTAAAGAGAAAGTTGCGACATGAGTGTCACCTTTGTTGGAAACAAACTGGTACATGCGTCAGTGCACATGAAGAGTTGGTATCCAACAGCTGCATGCTCTACTAACCACACACAGTGAACAGCCATTTTGTTTCCAAAATCTAAAGCTGGCGCTCTTCTCTCTATAAACAGCTCTGTTTTCAGTCGGCACTGGATACACACAGTATCATTTAGGCTGCAAAAATAGTTTAAAAATGCAACTCTAGACAGCTGACTGAGAAGCATACATGTACATGTATACGTACCGGGTAGTTGTATCCTTTGTAACTTGAAACACTCTTAACTTAACTTGGCAAAGAAGAGACAACTTGGTTTGAATAATTTCAATAGCACATCCACCACGGTCTGACATGTACATGTACACATGTAAGCTGGTCACATGAGCTCCATGCATCATGCACCAAGCATGCATAAACCTGTGCGCAAATGAACCAGTAGTGAGTTCCTGCCAAAGGACTATCGATACCATGTAAAAGCATGTCATCTCTTGTTCTTGCATGGATAAAATTTTGTCATTTTGATAAATAATGACACGTACAATAGGCAAAAAAACAGTACGTCATGGGAAAAATACCACTATGCGTACATGTACATTCAGCACTGGACAAGAATTTCTTTATAAAAGATACATTCATGTACTGTACATCAACATGTACAGACCTCCACATTCTTTTAAACCTCAAAATGCAGTACTTTATTATTATTATTAAATATTTCTGGTAATGACATCAAGGATTCCTAAAAAGCGCCCAAGGCACTGTTGCTCGCAAGCCTGAAGAAGCCCGTAGAGAGGAGACAATGAGAAGCAGTTGCAGTATTAGAGGTAGGAGGAAAACCTCAGAGGAATATTCTGGGTAAAACCCACAGCATTGAGGTATGGACTGAAAACCCAATCCACATGTGGACCGGGCCAGGATTCGAACCTGGACCGCAGAGGTGGAGTAATGAACCACTACGCCAACCTGACTCCATTGTTGATGAGATGTACTGTAAGAACATTCCTCCATAATTCAATACACGGTTACATGTAACAAGCACAAATCATTTAAAAACATACTGCAGATTTGTATCATTTCATTTGCTGATATTTCAAGCAATTTAAGGTTTCTAAATAATCTAAATATTTTTGAACCATCTGTTAAGAATGGTACATGTAGCAATTGGCCTTTTTACTAATAGGAATGCCCAACACATACAATGTATACAAAAGCATGTACATGCTGCGGTACATGTACATGCAAGAACAATGCATTTTATGAGAAAATAATGAAAAACGGGTATCTGCATCCACAAAACACATTTAAATAAAACCAATACATTTGTTGAACTGTAACCTGTATTGTTTTGAAAATTCTGGTCACAGAACTGAGGCCGGAGAAGCCAAGACTAACAAGACGGCTGAACTCCAAACATGAAGCCCTATTGTTTCCAATGAACACACTGCTACAAAAGTGACCGTACAGGGTTGTTCACCCTCAGCACTGCATGCTGAAGTAGCATGGGATTTCAACCTGCAGCTAAATTGGCTAATGGAAGAAGTTTAAACTAATTCTGATACTGCCTCAAGCAGGGCTTTCCTGCCACATTGTGGAACATGAAGGAGGGCTCCAACTCCTCAATATGCATGTTTATGCTTCCAAGATCAGCTTTCATGCATGCATTAGCCACTAATGCTCATCCAGGGGGCATAATGCGAATGGAGTCAACAAGTCCGCTGTTTTAAAGAGTCTTGAACATGATCATATTTGTTGTTCGCAAGAAGCCATGGCCTTTCTTGCTCAAACTGGACAGAAATGGTCAAGAGATGCAATTACTACATGTAATGTACCTGTATAATTTGTTTGTAAGTAAAGCGCGTTGTGGAACAATTCCTGAGACGTCACTGTGCTCCTGGTTTTTTCCTGAAAGTTTGATTTGATTGTCCAGTCTCGTGACATACAATCTGTCCATCCAGTCTAACCTTTTTTTCTGAACGAAACTAAAAAATATCTCTCAGCAAGTTTCTGCCGATAATGTGACACAAAAAAATGTATTTGGCACGGTTTTTGCCAATGAAAGCATTAATTATTTGGGAACAAAAAGTAATATTGACAGGCGAAAAAGTCATTTTCATTCAAAGTTCTCATGTGCATGTATCTAGAGATAAAAGCCCTCAATGAAGAATTTACAAGCAGATAAGATACTGAAACGGTCAGTTCAGTCTGTCAGAAATTAGGTTATTAATTTTATTTTTAAAATGTGCTTTCATGTACATGTAGGCCACTACTGCTGTTGTGCTACTCTTTGTTTATGTGTTGATAACATTTTGTTTGTTCTTTGCACATGTACATGTACCCAAAGGTCTTGGAAATGGAAACTTCTGTTTATGTTGAACTATGGGTACATGTAATTGGCCAGGTTTCAGTTCTCAAGTCTTGAACACAGACAGACCATTGTTGTGAACTTCTGACGTGGGATACATGTATAACACACATTGTACCAGCAAGTTGTGATGGTTTCAAAGCACCATCACTCTGACATCGCACAAACTCAGTCACTGGTCCATTTAGCAGTTACCTATTGCACTGTACGCTGTAAGTTGTTAG